AAATGAGTTGTGTGTAATTAATGTAGAAACTCCTCCTCCTCCACTTCTCCTCTCCTCAGTGTCTTTATAAGCTTCAGTCTCTCTTCTCCTCACACTCCAACCCTGCTCACCTCTCAGCTGGACAGTAAGGGACGTTTACACCACACACTGACAACATGCTGGGGACGCTCTGCACTCTCATCGCTGCTCTAACATGTAAGATATTCTTCTCTTTCCTTTTATAGTCCATATTTTCAGACACAAACCTTTCACTCATGTGTTTCTGTGTGTGTGTGTTGACAGATGTTGATGCAGTGATAGTGCTGACCCAGACGCCTGCTGTCCACACAGTTTCTACAGGACAAGAGGTTGTTCTCAACTGCAACATTCAGAGAGATGATGGATATTATGTCAGTTGGTATAAACAGGTTCCTGGTGCAGCTCCTCAGTTCATACTGAGATTTTACCATTCTCACAGTTCACCCACCTTTGGAACAGGATTCTCCTCAGACAGATTCAACTCTAAGTCCTCATCAAACATAGATTACCAGTTCATCATTAAGCGATCAGAGGCAGGAGACTCTGCTGTCTATTACTGTAACACATGGGACAACTCTGCTAAGGAGGGGGTATCACAGTGATTCACACTGTGACAAAAACCTCCTCACTAAACACTTCTGCTTTTTGAGACTCTTTTCTTCACTGACAATGAATCCATCAAAAAAATTCTCTCTATCTTCATATGTAACTTTAAAAATGTCTGTCTTTAATCTGTTCTCATCCGACTCATTTCTTTGTATCTTTTCACACATATTTCTTATCCCTCTTGACGTCTTCATGTTCTGTACACTTCCCTTTACCTCAAGAATGACCCGTCATTGCTTCACGTCTCTGATGAAACATCTTACCTCAATTTTAAATAAATTATTTTTGCATTCAGAAGCAACAGCTGCCACTCAAACGGTCAGAGAATAACTGCGTTTTCATACTTCACAATGCAGAACAACCGTTTCATTTATTCAATGTTCACCACTTGCTTTTTTACTACAAAGGCCAGTTTCAGTTCCTGACCACCATGGCTGGAGTAACCTGTCTGGGACATTAGATCTGTCGTTGCACCTCTGTTGCCTCCAAGTTCCCATCATGCACAGTGCACACAGGTCAGCACAGCTCAGTATAGATGCCAGCTTCATTACATTTGCACACATCAGCCCCAGAAACCAACCAGTACTCCTGTGCAGGAATATTACCTGGCACAGCAAAAGACCCATGACTGGGATGGGATTAAACAACAGTGACAGTCAATGTTACACTCTCAGAAAGTCCTATTAAAAATAAATATAATATTAAGCTGTGGCCAGACACATTTTAGGAACAATGTTTTCATTCAATTATCAACTCAATAAGCTGTAGGCCTACCTTTAACTCATTTTAGTGCCCAGAGCCGCAGCGTGCTTAATATCACGACCACCAATACTAAAGAGAAAACAAGGAAAACACACTGAACACCTTGTTTGACCAACAGATATTCTGATATTTATCAAACTGTGTAACCGTGACTTACAATCACACCCTCCACTTCAGGTGTGCACCTTATGTCTAACAGGCGGATCGATCAGATGACTGGGAACTATGATAGAAATAAAAACCACATGGATTACTTGAGTGTTTTCTTTTACAGTCCAACTGAAGTGACTGATGGCGTATGATCTTACAACAATATTTGCCTACCGCAAAACTAAATGTCTGACGTCCCTCGTGCTGTTGTCTGCACCACGCTGCACTTCCAGGCCAACGGACAGGTAGGAGAGAGAGAGAGAGAGAGAGAGAGAGGGAGAGAGGGAGCGGCCACTTCCGTTGTCCCCTAAATAATCTTCCCCATGGTCCTAAAAAACATCTCCGTTACACATAGGAACATTTAATGAAATTGCAAAAAACAAAACGACAAATGTCTTTTTTTACACTTTCATTTGTTTATAACAATGATATGATAGTAAACCTGAGGAGACCATTACAGCACGTGTCTAAAAATCTACCAGGGTGAAGCATATTTGTGTCATTTTTACATTTGTAACCATTTACTATTAATTGCTTTTATATGGAAGAACTGAAGAATGATCAGCTGAAATACATGAGGTTAAACACAGTGAATGTTCTAGCAGCCCCTGCAGCTGATAATCATGAATGAATGATGCTTGATGGAGGAGAACACCTTCACCATCATTCTTCTGAATTCAACCATGATATCAGAAGTTTCAACCTTTCCTGAGAAGAAAACTGATGCAAGAGAAGATTCAGAGTTAAATCCTCAAGTTCAGCCAGTGTTTTGTAAAATAAACAGACTGATGAAGGGAATGAGATGTTGACAGTGAAAGTTGGTCTCAACAGCATGTTTCAGTTCCACTCCCCTCATCAGTGAGAGGCAGAAGGTTTTTGTACAGCCATGTGTACAAACTGAATCACTGTGGTATTCGGACAAGGCACCAAGCTGATTGTGACAGTAAGTACTTTTCGAACTGATCATTAAACAAGACTGATCACTTGTTTCTGTCATCAACTCACAGAAAGTTTCGACATTTATATGTTACTTCCTTTTTAAAATGTTTATCTGAGCATTGTGTTCAGTGAATAACAGATGTTTTTGACATCAGCTTGGATTTGATACAGACTGTGTCTTTTGACAGAAAAATAATGGCAGTATTTAAGATGTTTCCTACAAAGTCTCCACAGTTTGTTTGATGGTTGAGTCATTTTTAACAGATGAGCAACATTTACAAGATTGTGCTTGTTCATTTTCACATCTTGAGACAAAATTGAAGCTGTGTTAGATCATCTTTACATTCCTTTATCAACACTACATCATGTATCTGTGTGTTTCATTTAAAGGTGCTTTAGATTTGATCCAAATCATAAATTGTCAGATTGAAATGTTTTCTTTTCTCCGGGTCGTTGTGACTCTTGATATGATGTAATTTCTCACTGTGACTAAAATAGAATCCATTGTCATTTTGTCAAAAACAAACAGTGACTTAATGAATGTTTCCAGCATAAAATATTACATTCTTAATCATCAATATTCTAAATGAATAGCTAAATGATAAACTGTGCGTACATTTTTAAGTGAAGATTTCTACAATGTTTTTTCTACATTGAAATCCTTTACTTTCGTCTGATTATTATATTGTTAACTAAAAACATTTCACTCTTACTGTCATGCTGTGTATTAATAATGTGATTCCTACTCATGTGATTAATGTCGTCCATGTATTTTCAGGCTCCGGTCTCTCTCCTCCTGTCCTGACAGTCTTCCCTCCGTCCAGTGCTGAGCTGCAGACCAACAAAGCCACTCTGCTCTGTCTGTCCAGTCAGTCTGTGCCTTTTGCAGAAGTCACCTGGTTGGTTGGTGGGAGTCCAGTGAGCAGTGGGGTCTCTACCAGCACCGCTGTTCACCAACCAGACCACACTTTCCAAATCAGCAGCTATCTGGACATCCAGACGTCAGACTGGAACATGGAGAAGCTTTACACATGTAAAGTGTCTTTGGGCTCCCAGACTTCAGAGAAAAACATCAACAAGTCAGCCTGTCCCACTGAACAATAGCAGAGAAGCAGAATGAGCATTTACAACCTGCTTCTTTACTGTTTGTGCTGTTTGCTCATTACAAGGTTTTTACATGTTAGAAAAGATGTGTCTGCATGCTCGTAATAACTGTTGTGACAGTTAGGTGGAGGTGTTGTATCAGCTTTGCATCTGCTGCATTTTTTAATCATTCATTCAATTAAATAAAAACTCTGCGATCAAAATAAACTATTTGTATTTATTTGTATTAATGAAATTATCACAACAGAAATATTTGACCTGTAATAAAATTCACTAGAATTTAATTTTCCTCGTTCATTATTTCAAGAAATTTACACATCAGTAATCTATAATAAAATTACCAATATGACTCAAATGGGAAACTTATCGATGAATATTAGTTCAAGAATTTTCTGGAATAAATGATTTCCAGAGTACAGATGTAAAAACTACATTTTTTATTTCCTGAATGAGAAATGAGTTGTGTGTAATTAATGTAGAAAACTCCTTCCTCCTCCACTTCTCCCTCATTCTCAGTGTCTTTATATAGCTTCAGTCCTCTTTCCTCCTCACACTCCAACCTGCTCACCTCTCAGCCTGGACAGTAAGGGACGTTTACAACCACACACTGACAACATGCTGGGGACACTCTGCACTCTCATCGCTGCTCTAACATGTAAGATATTTCTTCATCTTTCCTTTTTATAGTCCCATATTTTCAGACACAACCTTTGCACTCATTGTGTTTCGCTGTGTGTGTGTGTGACAGATGTTGATGCAGTGATAGTGGCTTGACCCAGACGCCTGCTGTCCACACAGTTTCTACAGGACAAGAGGTTGTTCTCAACTGCAAACATTCAGAGAGATGAATGGATATTATGTCAGTTGGTATAAACAGGTTCCTGTGCAGTCCTCAGTTCATACTGAGATTTTACCATTCTCACAGTTCACCCACCTTTTGGAACAGGATTCTCCTCAGACAGATTCAACTCGTAAGTCTCATCAAACATAGATTGCAGTTCATCATTAAGCGATCAGAGGCAGGAGACTCTGCTGTCTATTACTGTAACACATGGGACAACTCTGCTAAGGAGGGGGTATCAACAGTGATTCACACTGTGACAAAAACCTCCTCACTAACACTTACTGCTTTTTGAGACTCCTTTTCTTCACTGACAATGAATCCATCAAAAAAATTCTCTCTATCTTCATATGTAACTTTAAAAATGTCTGTCTTTAATCTGTTCTCATCCGACTCATTTCTTTGTATTTCTTTTCACACATATTTTCTTATCCCTCTTGACGTCTTAGTTTGTACGATCTTCCCTTTACTCAAGAATGACCCGTTGTTGCTTCACGTCTCTGATGAAACATCTTACCCTGCGTAATTTTAAATAAACTTATTTTTGGCATTCAGAAGCAACAGCTGCCACTCAAACGGGTCAGCAGAATAACTGCGTTTTCATACTTCACAATGCAAGACACCGTTTCATCTTATTCAATGTTCACCACTTGCTTTTTTTACTACAAAGGCCAGTTCAGATTCCTGAACCACCATGGCTGGAGTAAAACCTGTCCTGGGACATTAGATTCTGTCGTTGCACTCCTCTGTTGCCTCCAAGTTCCCATCATGCACAGTGCACACAGGTCAGCACAGCTCATGTATAGATGCCAGTTCATTACATTTGCACACATCAGCCCCAGAAACCAACCAGTACTCCTGTGCAGGAATATTACCTGGCCACAAGCAAAAGACCACATGACTGGGATGGGGATTAAACAACAGTGACAGTCAATGTTACACTCCTCAGAAAGTCCTATTAAAAATAAATATAATATTAAGCTGTGGCCAGACACATTTTAGGAAAATGTTTTCATTCAATTATCAACTCAATAAGCTGTAGGCCTATTTAACTCATTTTAGTGCCCAGAGCCGCAGCGTGGCTTAATATCAGACCACCAATACTAAAGAGAAAACAAGGAAAACACACTGAACACCTTGTTTGACCAACAGATATCTTGATATTTATCAAGAGTGTGTAACCGTGACTTACAATCACACCCCTCCACTTCAGGTGTGCACATTATGTCTAACAGGCGGATCGATACAGATGACTGGGGAACTATGATAGAAGATAAAAACCACATGGATTACTTGAGTGTTTTCTTTTACAGTCCAACTGAAGTGACTGATGGGCGTATGAATCTTACAACAATATTTGCCTTACCGCAAAACTAAATGTCTGAACGTGCCCTCGGGCTGTTGTCTGCACCACGCTGCACTTCCAGGCCACGGACAGGTAGGAGAAGAGAGAGAGAGAGAGAGAGAGAGGAGAGAGGGAGCGCCACTTCCGTTGTCCCTAAATAATCTTCCCCATGGTCCTAAAAAACATCTCCGTTACACATAGGAACATTTAATGAAATTGCAAAAAACAAAACGACAAATGTCTTTTTTTACACTTTCATTTGTTTATAACAATGATATGATAGTAAACCTGAGGAGACCATTACAGCACGTGTCTAAAAATCTACCAGGGTGAAGCATATTTGTGTCATTTTTACATTTGTAACCATTTACTATTAATTGCTTTTATATGGAAAAACTGAAGATGATCAGCTGAAATACATGAGGTTAAACACAGTGAATGTTCTAGCAGCCCTGCAGCTGATAATCATGAATGAATGATGCTCTGATGGAGGAGAACACCTTCACCATCATTCTTCTGAATTCAACCATGATATCAGAAGTTTCAACCTTTCCTGAGAAGAAACTGATGCAAGAGAAGATTCAGAGTTAAATCCTCAAGTTCAGCGCAGTGTTTTGTAAAATAAACAGACTGATGAAGGGAATGAGATGTTGACAGTGAAGTTGGTCTCAACAGCATGTTTCAGTTCCACTCCCCTCATCAGTGAGAGGCAGAGAGGTTTTTGTACAGCCATGTGTACAAACTGAATCACTGTGGTATTCGGACAAGGCACCAAGCTGATTGTGACAGGTAAGTACTTTTCGAACTATCATTAAACAAGACTGATCACTGTTCTGTTCTCAAACTCACAGAAAGTTCGACATTTATATGTTACTTCCTTTTTAAAATGTTTATCTGAGCATTGGTTCAGTGAATAACAGATGTTTTTGACATCAGCTTGGATTTGATACCAGACTGTGTCTTTTGACAGAAAAATAATGGCAGTATTTAAGATGTTTCCTACAAAGTCTCCACAGTTTGTTGATGGTTGAGTCATTTTTAACAGATGAGCAACATTTACAAGATTGTGCTTGTTCATTTTCACATCTTGAGACAAATTGAAGCTGTGTTAGATCATCTTTACATTCCTTTATCAACACTACATCATTGTATCTGTGTTGTTTCATTTAAAGGTGCTTTAGATTTGATCCAAATCATAAATTGTCAGATTGAAATGTTTCTTTTCTCCGGTCGTTGTGACTCTTTGATATGATGTAATTTCTCACTGTGACTAAAATAGAATCCATTGTCATTTTGTCAAAAACAAACAGTGACTTAATGAATGTTTCCAGCATAAACATATTACATTCTTAATCATCATATTCTAAATGAATAGCTAAATGATAAACTGTGCGTACATTTTAAGTGAAGATTTCTACATGTTTTTTCTACATTGAAATCCTTTACTTTCGTCTGATTATTATATTGTTTAACTAAAAACATTTCACTCTTACTGTCATGCTGTGTATTAATAATGTGATTCCTACTCATTGTGATTAATGTCGTCCATGTATTTTCAGGCTCCGGTCTCTCTCCTCCTGTCCTGACAGTCTTCCCTCCGTCCAGTGCTGAGCTCCAGTCCAACAAAGCCACTCTGCTCTGTCTGTCCAGTCAGTCTGTGCCTTTTGCACAGATCACCTGGTTGGTTGGTGGGAGTCCAGTGAGCAGTGGGGTCTCTACCAGCACCGCTGTTCACAACCAGACCACACTTTCCAAATCAGCAGCTATCTGGACATCCAGACGTCAGACTGGAACATGGAGAAGCTTTACACATGTAAAGTGTCTTTGGGCTCCCAGACTTCAGAGAAAAACATCAACAAGTCAGCCTGTCCACTGAACAAAGCAGAGGAGCAGAATGAGCATTTACAACCTGCTTCTTTACTGTTTGTGCTGTTTGCTCATTAACAAGGTTTTTACATGTTAGAAAAGATGTGTCTGCATGCTCGTAATAACTGTTGTGACAGTTAGGTGGAGGTGTTGTATTCA